TGGGCTAAAGATAGACCGAGTTAGACCAAACCGGACTGTTAACATTCTAGTAAAAATCAAAATTATTTTAACTTGTACACCAAAATTTACGGTTTAAGGGATATTGAAGCGTTTATATACAGCATTAGTCTAAAAAAAACTGATGTTGCGACAAATAGATTTTATCTTAGGCATATGTAAACACTTATAAAACTAACATATCATTATGTTACATTATAATTATAGTCGTCATTTATCAAAAAAAAAGTTTCATTGCAAATTATATACAATCTTTGTTGTACCGACGGAACTTGAATTATAACATTTGTGGAAATTTATGCATAACATTTCTTGAATCAATTAGTTATCTTTGATCTCGAGAATTTTGGTGCTTAATTGACACACACCACTTTATAATAAAGGAACTTAATAAATCTCGACACCAACTCTCAGGTGAATAACCAATAATTAGCAAACCTTGTTAAATAAATAAATAAATTATTGTATAAAATTACAAAATATCAAAAATTACAAAAATCTATTTTCTATTGCAAAGTTAATCCTCACTACCCATTATTCCACTTACGTCTGCCTGGTTTGGAGTAAAAGTTGTTGTTTCTATGCGATGACAAATAGAAAGGTTACAAAATTTTTTAAATAACAGCTAAGAAGTCCAATAATTAATACCCACCAAAGCTAAAACATGGTTACGTTGTTCAGGTGGTAACATATCAATCTGTTGTTGTGGAAGATTAAGAACTTGAAGCAAAAGTTGCTAGATAATAATAAATTGATATATTTAGTATGCATATGTGTTACTCATGAAATCATTAAGAATTTCTTTGTTTAATACAGACCGACTTTTGAGCTTCTTGAATTTGCACATCATCTAAATTATGCAAAGGTTGTTTAAATCTCATGGAATTTAATCATATTCGCATAAAAATTTTGACAAATAAATCGGTATATTACTTAAACTGAGATTTCCAATCGTTCCGGCTACGGAAGACGTAGACGGAGTAACGCCAACATTTCCTATAACAGGCATCATTCCAGTATTCATCACCGGCATTCCCATTGGCGGTTGCATGGTCTGCGTTATTGGTTGCTGCATGGTCTGTGTCATGGGCTGCTGCATGGTCTGTGTCATGGGTTGCTGCATAGTTTGTGCCATTGGTT